TTTTTTATTATCGCTTAAAATTATTAATGTTAAGATTTAACATTAATTTTTTTTTAAGAAATTGTTGGAAAAATGTATTGTACAACTGAGAAAGTCAAGTTTGTACGTACAAAATGATTCTTTCTAGAGAAATTTTAAGAGCGAGTCGGAGCCACTTCGCAATTCTTAAACGGTTCATCGCGATTCACGAGTCCCGCATCCGATCGATCGTTGCCGCACCGAGGAAGTTCGCTGTGGGAGACTCAGGCGAGATTGGGTGCGGGGAGTGAGCCCGATTGGTTAATCGTTTTGCAAGAGCGTTTCTCCGAGCGACGAGATCAGGCTTGGGACACGCTCCGCTCACGAACGATCGAAAGAGCGCCCGATTTCGCGATGGAGACGAAGACGACTTGCGCAGCTTAAAAAATATAAGAATATATATAAATGCACAGTATAATCTTTTTTCTTAAAAGAGATCTTAAAGCTGCTCGAAGAAGAGATAGATTGATCAGTTTGTCAATTTCTGCGAAATTGCTTTTAGAGGTTCTTTGAATGGAATGTATTGTCTATTCAAATAATGTCCGTTTCTAGTAATGCAGAGATTAACTTTAATGTTTAGTTTGACTCATTCTTTTTCTAATTCTTGCATTGAGAAAAATGTCGAGTTGAATTAATTGAAATTATGGAAAATAGACGAATCAAAATTTTCTGTCAAATCTACTAGAATTCTAGTTGAAATAACCAGAATTACAATTGATATAATCAGAATTTTCTAATTCGTCCATATTCAATCAAACATTTTTATCAGTATATTATAGAAATGGAAAAAAATAAAGAGAGAGTTGAACTGAAATTAAAAGTAATTTGATGAAAACGGACATAGATGTTCACCGAGAAAGTTGTAAAATTATATTATACGTTTAAATGTTTTCGTTATATTTATTGTATTTACATTTATATTAAAAATTATAATTGAATATAAATAATGTAAATTTAATTAAAAATTTTTTATGTTTTTATTAATTTTATATGTTTTTGCATTAAAAGATGATATTGAGAAGTTTTCATATAACACGTGTTTTTTTTCGACAAATAAAAAAAAATAAATTTTAAAATGCAGGAGGAAATTCGCGGTAAACAGCGCAGGCATTTCAAGATATGACGATTTGGAACATCTTACATATACATATACATATAACAAAAGTTGGTACGCATGCATATTTCCTGTTTCTCTTTGGCACTGCGAACAACTGATACCGGTATCTCGTCCTTTGCCATGAATAGAGTTTAATGCGACACGTGGAGCAAATGCATCGGTTCGATGGCTCGAGCAGCAAGCGTTTTCGCTTGCAGCCGTTGCAACATCATACAACGATCGCATGTGCAAGCGGCGCAGCGGGGTCGATTTCTTATATTTAGCGTCGGCTAGATTAATAATTTATAGCGTCGCGCACGACATAAGGCGAGTAAATTTAACATTCGCGACTCTCTTCCGCTGTCCACTGATCGCGACTTACGGATATTGACGCAGAGGGGCAGATTCCCGAGATAATTTTGTTCAACTCGTTGTGGAAGCGATAACATTCTGTTTGTCCAGATGCGTGAACGGGCACCCGATTGCATTAAAAACTGTAGATTATTAAGATAGATTATTAAGATAGATTATTAAGATACGCGTGAAGGTCGCATTCTTCTATGTGGCACTTTTACACTGCATTTTTGCCCATTGGTCGTGATAATTAGTAGATTGTTAGTAAAAAGCGGGCTTTGTCCTGTTAAAACTCTTCCTAAATCCTTGTCATTGTTGCGTTAAACGGAATGATCAAAAAACGCGGAAAAAAGACATTTAATTCCGTAAATAGCATTAATCTGATATCACGTACCTTTCTAATTTCCTTTTTTGGAGCATTTTGGGATTACTTTTAATTTCTCTTTCAAAGAGATTCATAGTATTGAAATTGCAAAAAAATATTCATAATAAAGAAAAGAAAATAACAAGAAAATTTTTTTAAATGAGAATTTATCAAAACATAAACAAGAGAATTTAGCAAAAAATAAACATATGCAGAGGCTCTTTTTCGAGTCAATTAAAAATCTATTTAGCTGCCCACGAATTTACTTTAATGTGCACAAATAGGTAAATTCTTCATTTAACTTTAAATAAACTTTATTAAACATTTATTTTAAATAGGATTTTAATATGATATTTAATATCAAGATTTATATATAACCGAAAATTGAAAATATTTTGAGATGTGATCTTTGACATTGATTTGCGTTAATAAAAAATTAATTTCAGAACGGTCTTTAAATTAATTTGCTGAACTGTCTAAAAATTTAGCCAGATCTGAAAATAATTTAAGTGGCCCATCAAAATAATTGGGATAAGTACTACGCCATCAATGTGGATTCTCTAATTAATTCATAACATATTTTTATGCCGAAAAACAAATTGTACAGTGCTTTTGAAAATCTTTTATTTTCGGGATATTACCCGTGAAAAACAATGTGTTCATCTTGCGAGACTAGAATGAGAATTTATATTATTACTTTACTTTTTACGATTATTGGATTACGTTGCCATGGATAGACCACCGATTATCCATCATTGGACTACCTGAGAATCGAATATTAACAATTATACTTCAAAATTGGGTCAAATAATAAGTTTACAGAAAATATAATGTTTATTAAAGTCATTTTTGAAAGAATTCTTATATTTACGTATACAAATTTTAAAATTTATGAACTAAACAATACATATTTTATATAAAATAATTGAAAAAATTATAAAATAAGATAAACATTTAGGTATCAATTGCTTCTTCATATAAAATTGTCTACGTAAAATAACAAAATATAATATAAACTTTATTTAATTAAAATATAATATAAAAAGTATAATATAAAATTTTATAATGAAACATAAAATAGTTATATAATAAAACAAATAATTATACACAGAACTGTCTTATGTTTTATTATTAAATTGGCAAACATTTCTTATAGCTGTAATACTTATTTGTTCCACACAATGTGCTGTGGATATTCAATTATTAGTCCGTTCATGACCTTGCCATGTGATCCATTTATAGAAATGTATCAATTATCATATAATCTATAATCCTGTACGTAAGTGTAAATTGCCGAAAGTAGAGTATCCTATTCTATAAAGAGTGTATATCTTCAACTTTAAGGAAATATTGAGATTAATAAAATATATTTCAATTGAATAGTTTCAATAATTTCTGCAAAATCGGGAAAAATAAGATCAAAATGCACAAAAATATATCTTGCGAAATTACAGCGTCTTTGCTTTTGAAATTACTGCGCCTATCTGAGTAATTAACATAGCGGCTATTTCTTTACTAATTTATAATTTCTCCACCACAAATGGCGCGACGAAATCACGTATAATAATAAAAATATTTAACTAGTCCATCCGTTGGTGGCATACCGATCCATCGATGGCATACTTATCCTACGTAGAATGTTCAGGCTGGTGGCTAGAATGTCAAAAATTTTTTTACAACATTAATTATCATGCTTGAAATTCTTATGTAATTATTTTGATGGTGGTTCAACAAAATTTATATATTATTTCCAGATTTATATTTAACTAAATTCTTTAGATTTTCAACAAAATTGTTCTTTTCAAAATTCATTTCTTTAATAAATTTCCGGTGTAAGTTTCGTTTTATGATGTTTTTATTTATTGACTGCTTTTTTGTTGAAGCTGTAAAGAGAAAGGTCTCTTCATTGGTTTCTTAAAAGAAACGATAGACTTTGCAACACGGTCGTGCGCGATTCCCGCGAAGTCCCGGGACTTTCCTCAGACCGAATCCATGAATCGAATTACCGAATCCGACGATGACCGCGTCCGGCGAAAGGAAGTCCGTTAGGTGTGCATGAGGGATGCCTAACTGTGCTCGAGGGTCTGAGCCTCGATTCCGCGAGGTTTCCTCTCTTCTGCAGGTCTTCTCGCGCCTTCTATCTTGCACCGCGGTCTCATCGATTCGCGCGGTCTCATCTTGTACCGGTATACTATTATTATTCAATCATAAAAAAGGAGGAAAACTACATATTCTGAAAATCGCATCCGAATCAAACGTTATTTCGTGAATATAATCTTAAAACGCTGCAGGGAATTAAGAATGAATATTATTAATGTAAAGCTAAAGATGTAATTACTAAACTAATTGTGGATAAATAAATTGAAAAAATAAACTCTTCATACATAACGCAAGAACTAATTAAATGAAGACTAAGTTTATCTTATATTAGAGTAAGGCTTATCATCATAATGTAATTCCAATTTTTGCTTAATTAGGTGTGTTTCTCTTTATAATCGACAAGTGATAGCGGAAAATTGTGTTATGTATTGAATGCATAAGTGTAGAATTCCCTTATTAATACTAGATATTGTAATCGACATTTCTCTTCATGTTATTATGAACGAGTCACAATTATCAAAATATGGATCTAACACAGTCAAATAATAAACATTGTCCGTTGACAATGAATTTCTTGAAAGAGATTGTACTTTTTTTCTCATCTTAAAATAATATAAATCTTATAATATTATTTTATAGTATTGTAATAATTCTTATACAATATATATTATACAATATATTTATTTTAAATTTAAATAATATACCATATCTTTTTTAGATTGTGTAAAAATTAAGTAAAAAAATGTTGCATAAAAAATTAATTAATACTATAGTACTGTAAGTATTACTGTACAGTGGCATTATTTTACACAGTGCTATAATAATTTTTATAATATACTGTTATTTTGTTGGAAATTTTACCAACTCGTATATATAGTTAGTATATTAATAATTATATTATTTAAAAAATACGCTATAATAAGGTATTACATTGCGTCGCATCGTTTGTTATCTTGAAGACGCAAGTAAGCGATTCTCACATTGATCATACGTCTCTCGATAGCGATATCAAATACACAGTCGAACCGTTTTCATTTCTAAAATAACGATCCTCTCCTATTGTTTCAGGCGCAACGACCGGAGCAGAGCGTAATGCAGGCTTTGGAGAGCCTCAATGATTCACAGGTGAATGACTTCTTGTCCGGCAAGGCACCACTTAATCTTACGATGCGACTAGGCGATCACATGATGTTAATTCAGCTACAGTTGTCTACCGTAACCCCGACATCGCCGACTGCCAGTCAGGCGAGCTCTGCCAACAGTAACGGCCATAGTCATCACAGCAGCAGCAACAGTAGCAACAACGTTGCTAGTTTACCCAATAGTAACAATACCACGAGCATGTCCAATCCGTCTGGCGGTCATTCGTCGTTGCAGACCAGAAGATGCCTGACGGCCAGATCACCGGGAAATATTGTTAAGCCGCAGAACGCTGCCGGGGCACCGGCTGGCAGAACGTCGCATCTAATTAGCAGCCTTGCCAGCGCCCTACACGCAGCCGCGAGCTACAGCAACAGCAGCAGCCTACCTACCGCCAGCATTACCACTACGACCACCAGCCCGGTATGTTCTAGCCGGGTTACAACATCCTCTTCGTCCGTCTCGACGGCGCCAATTAGCCCGGCGCATTCATTGTCGTCGTCCAGCAGCAATTCGGGTCAATCGCAATCTACGCGTGGCAATTCGCATAACGTTCCACCTACGAATGGCAGTTCTTCCAGCGCGTGTCAGCCCTGCCCGCTCTATCACCACCATCATCATCATGGCCATCACCACGGTCATCACCATGGCCATCATCATCACCACCATCATCACCATCATCATCATCATTCGAGGAACAAATCTAGCTTACCCAACCTTTCCACTTCCTCTTCTTCCTCTTCCTTCAGTTCGGGTTCGTCTCCGATTCAGGAGCAGTCTGCCTTGGAGCCGATGTCTTACGACGCGACGCTACCCAGGAAGAAGCTCTGCAGCGGCCACCATCATCATGGCCAGCCATCATCGTCCGTTACCACTAGTGGCATGGACGCCACGAGGAGTCAACACGAGGAATCTAATCCGCAGAGCCCAACATGCACTTCATCGCTGATGCTGGAGCAATCGCCACCCAAGCCCGCCACCCTCGACACTCGAGCGCTCGCCGAGGCATCTCGGAACCTCACTCAGAAGCTGAAGCAGCTCTCCTCTGAGGTACTCACCTCGCGGGTCGACCTCGCAGAGGTATACATTGTTACCGAAGCCAGTTCCCCCTGTGTATCATTATTTGTGATTTATATTCGTGATTGCACGTCGATCAAGGTCCTAAGAGGTGCGCCGTGATTGGTCGCGAATTGAATTGTTTGATCTCTTTTTAAATTGGACAGCTTATTTATTGGATAGAAATTCTTCGATGATACTAAATTTATTTCTCGATTGTATGGATAAAATTAAAAATGAACACTTGCTCACAAAATACTCTCAGGTCCTTAAAATTATCATATTTATATTGTATTTAACTATATTTTATACTAATAACATTTAAATTCTAATGTTCTGTTGTGACAAATGATGTGTGTATTCTTAATTAATATTACGCATTAATACTGATTTTATATTGTACTTTTGAAACATAGTTTTAAGTTTAGCATTACGTGTGTAAAATTTATATTTTGGAACTATATAATTTCATATAAATAAACTTAACATCTCATTATTTAATTACATTTCATGTTCGTAAGCTTAAACAGAGTCTCTATAAGATTAAATTCAATTTTTCCGATAACGTTCCGATTTTCTTAAATAATAACATAACATATACTTACGAATTTTTTATGTAAAATTTTTAAAACATAAATTTTTAAATTTAAAAAATAAGAAACTTGAAAGATATAACAGAGAAGGGAAAGGGGAAGGATATATCAAAACACTAATTTGACAACTTATTTCCGCTTTTAAATACGAAAATAGTATATTTCTAAAGCGATATGTAAATTTTTTTTTCGAAACATTTTATTAGAAAAGTGTTTTGTACGTCATCGTGCATAAATACAAGACAACTAAAGACATATCAATAGATAGAACGTAGAATGTAGAATCTTACGTATCTCTTTAAATTTAGGAGAACGCAAGACGCAGGCAAGGCGCAATAATAGAGAGTATGCATCATCATGGCAAAGGCGTGTATTCCGGCACGTTTAGCGGCACTCTGAACCCAGCCCTCCAGGATAGACACGGTCGGCCGAAGCGGGACATTAGTACCATCATTCACATCCTGAATGACTTGCTCTGCGCGACACCGGCCGCATCCGCAGGCCACTATAGGCATCATCATCATAGGCATTCGCATACTCGCCAGCAATCTTCCTTGATGTCCGCATCTTCCGCGGGCACTACAACTACCGCGAGTGGATCTACTTCGTCGGTCAGCTGTCATGATTCCACACCAGGCTACTCCAGTGGTGTGTATTTATGAATTTATATCGAATAATACTTTTAAATAATAAAACAAAGAAAAATTTTATAATATATTTAATTTTCAATATACTAAAAGAATTAAATTATATATGTTTAATTATTTTTATATTTAATGCCTTGTATTGTAATTATAACATAACATGTCACTATTTTTATTTTAAAAATGTCTAGAAACTTTTATCTTATACCATTAATTTCTATTAATACTAATGCGCTGTGTGATGTTTCGAATATAGAAGAATTATCAAAGGAGAACGAGGCAACGAAGGGCAAGATGCGTCGGCTGCGCTTAGTCATGGAACAACGTCGAGCTAAGAGAAAAGCCAGGCGACAGGCGCGAGCGGCACCGTATACCACACAGTGGGCTGCGATGACTCCCGCCGATCCGAACCACGAGCCGAACACGTCAACTGCGACCTCGAGCACCACCACCACTACTAACAGCGCGGAGCCGCAGAACGAGCCGGAGCTTCAACCGTGTAGCCCCGAACCGGTCGTAGCTTAAATACCACGTCACTAACAGTCAATTCATGGCACAGTAATATCTTCTATATTCGTATACATAGAGTATGATTGTCCGTTTTCGTTTCTACCTATCGCACTGATTTATTCCGAAAGAAGAAAATGCAGAGTCAAACGTGTTCTATCGCGCAGTTACACTCGTTCCTTACAACTCTCGTTCCGCGCAACCAAACGCTGCAAAACGTTTTAAACATTTGATTCGACACTCGTTCTCATTGATACCCCGTACACGGTCTCGATCATTACCGTGAATCCACTGAGTTTCTCTCCGTATTATGCAAGTGTCTCGCTTTCTCCGATTTGCGTTACTTTATGCAAATAGACGTAATCTGCGAGGATTCACTAGCTGATGAATCGAAAGATGAATTCAATCGAACATCCTTTCTTTTTTGTATAGCACTCGAAACTATTTTTTGAATAACATTTTTTTTATATCTTTTTTTTTGGAACATATCATTTTAGAATTCTATTCTTAAAAAGAAATGTGTGTGTGTGTATATATATATATATATACGTATATATATATATATATACACACACACACATTTCTTTTTAAGAATAGAATTCTAAAATGATATGTTCCAAAAAAAAAGATATAAAAAAAATG